CCATGCACTTGGACAGTTTTTCCATGTCCAGTGCATGCAGTCGATGCTTCCAATCATGCCAGGGAAGCCTCGCATCTCACCCTTCCTCAGAAGCCTTCGCATGTCCCTTGTCGTGGGTTGCCGAAGGTACTCATTGGTGTAGAGGGCTTCAATTGCAGAGCAAAACCGCATCAGGGACTCCAGAACTGTTGTTTTTCCCATCCTTGCGATCTCATCCACTTGATCTGCAGATACTCCATATGCAAGCATTCGCAAGGCAGCCGTAATTTTTTGCTCAGGAAGAAGACCTAGAACATGAAAAGCATCCTCTTTTTGCACAAAATATGGATCATGGTTGCAAACATCACTCATGATTTTAGCGAACAAACTTCGTTGCATTCTAAAACGACGTCTAAAAACATGATCAGGGAAAACGCTGTTGGGAATAAAATAATCTTCCAAGAGATCTTTACCTCGTCTTTCCCTTCTTCTATCGATGTTTTCCGCACGTCCGGGTTTGGCTATCTGACCCATAGCTTCCATGATACGGCGGGAATGTGAGGCCATCCGCCTTCTATGGTGATCATCCTCAAGCACCTCCATTGCGAAGGGCTCATCTCCACCTCCACCTTGGTCAAGATTGACCAATTCTTCCTGTTGTGCCAACAACCTTTTCTGCTGCTCTTGTAACTGTTTATACGTTCTCCTTGAAGAAGACATTGTAAGAATTCAAGATTTGAAAATGATAAAGAAGAATTCTGAGCTAAAAAAAAGGATTGAGTTTAGTGTGAGGATGGATGTAGGGATGTAGGGTTTATATGGACAAAAAAAAAAAAATGAGGTTCTGGACAATGCCACGTGGCACTACGTGATTGGTTGAAAATCTTAGCGGAAATCTATTCAAAAAATAGTAAGTTCGGATAATGACACGTGGCGTGACGAGATTGGTTAAAATTTTTATCGAAATCTTGCCTAAATTATTGTAAACAGGAAGTGACACGTGGGTTGTCGGGATTGGTTGAAAATCTTAGTGGAAATCTATTCAAAAAATAGTACGTTCGGATAATGACACGTGGCGTGACGAGATTGGTTAAAAATCCTATCCGAAATTAAAACTATTTTTTTTTTATTATTTTATAAAAAAATTATTTAATATTTTAAATGGACTGGGTGCCAGCGCATTTTGTAGGGGTGGAGATCGTTTGTGCCAGCGCATTTTTAGACTAGGTGCCAGCACATTTTTTTTGGGGTGGAGATGCTTTGGCCTATTACTGTTCATTGGGTCTATTACTGTTCAATTAAGTGGATAAATGGGCTGGGTGCTGGCGCAAAGTGGATAGGAGTGGAGTTGCTCTCATTGAAATCTATGGACTTTTGGTCTACCAAACGTTATGACCAATTCTGCCCACTGTAACCAATAAAATAAGAAAGTAAATGCACCTTGTATTTTGCTTTGTCATCAACACTCAGCAGAAAAGTGGGTTTTAATTCCACTCACTAGCCTTTGGAGCAAAAGAAAAGTCGAGAGGAGAAAGTGGAGAGCACAATTGCCCACTCCATTGACTAATAAAATAATCAACACACGGCAACAGAGAGCATGGCAGAAGAGGAATAGACTGATTGGAGTTTTCGATATAGAGTGCAGAACACGACAGAGGGGAGAAAACAGAGAGCAGGAAAGGGGAAGGGGTGCCGCAACTCAAAATTTGAAGAGAAGAAGAAGCATGCTCCTCTTTTTTAGGAGAAGATGATCAGAAAGCTCATCTTGTGAAAATGGGTTGTTTTCTTTCTTTGATTTTTAATGGATAATTCCTTATGTACTAAAAAAAGTATGTGTAACTAATTTCCTTTTGCTAGAGTGAGGCCATAAGGCTCAACATGATTACGTAGATGTCTCTTTCAATTGCTTAAGTGTTGTTACATGCTTGCTTTGATATTGTCAATCACTAAATTAAACTATCTATGTGCCTTGATGTTTGATCACCATTAGGATGCTTAGAAAAGTCATCGGATGCAATTTTGAACGAATGTCATGTTAAAATTGGCTATACTTCTTGTGATTGAGGAATGCAATTTCTCCTAAGGTAAATATCATACTTTTAGGGATTACATGGTTTAACAAAAGAATTTTCACCAAGATTTAATCCAAATATCATGAATAAATTGCATGTAGTGGTATGAGTTTTAGCTTGAATGTCACAAGTAAAACATGAGTAATTGAATGTCACAAGTAAAACATACACAAGGAAAACCTAACTTTCAAAGCATGTGTGTTTTCGATTACTTAAGCAATTGGAAGAGCTATGTAGGAGTGTTGTTGGTAAAGGTTGAACTCTAGCACCTTGACAATCTAATTTTCTTCAATTATTTGTATTATCTTGAGTTTCTATATTTACTTGTTTTGTTTAGTTGGATCACTATTCCTATAAGCCAATTCTCATTTTAGATATTTGTTTAAGTTATGTACAATAGTATTTAGTTTCGTCGAATTAATGTAGTTTTTAGAGTTAACTAAGTTAAATACACAAAAACTTGTAAATTGTTTATATCAGTCCCTGAGGAGATCAGCCTTGCTTGAGCCATTCTATACTACAAACACTTGTTCCCTTGCAAGAATTTTCTATGGTTTAACCCTTGTTTTACAAGTGATAAAATCGCTATCATATGCACTGGTTTTTGCTACTTCAGTGATATTGCATTATCAAAACAACAAGTTATTTGTTTTGGGATTATAATAAGGGGATCTTATAACCAGAACCGTACTTTTGAGTTTTGAGTTTTTTGTTTATGCATTAGTTGCTACAATTGAATTTAGACAATTATATTAGTTAGACTTTTGAGTTTGTGAACTTATAACCATTTGGATTATGTTTGCTGACATTGTTGTTGACTTATTAAGTTTTGGTTTGATTTCCATTTTAATTTGTTAAGTCATGATTATGTTGGCTTATCATCAATTGCAAAATTGCAGCAGCAACTTATTTTCTCTTTTCAAGTTTGTTATTTACGGGTCGGTGCATGGTCTTGCGTTGTTGTTTTTGTAGCTTATTTGAAAAACATTGGTTGTGCCATTTACCAACCGAACCAGCCAATAATTTAGGTTTCTCTTTTTTGGTTTGTTGTTTATGGGTCGGTGTATGGTCTTGAGCTGTTGTTTTTGTAGCTTATTTACAAATCATTACTTGTGCCATTTGCCAATTAAACCAGCCAATAATTTTGGCTAAACTGATTTTTGGGAATTGCAAGAAAACGGTTGGCTAGTGGTAACTAATTTTTGGTAATTATTTATATGTGGCTGACAGGTGGCACAAGAAATTTGGCACGGTTTACCAACCAAACCCAGCCCTAATAATTATTTATTAATATTATTATGAATATGGTAATAGTTGCAAGGAATAAATTTTCTTTCATAACTTCAAAGGGGCCCATACTGGATCATAAATTATCTTTGGTGTTGCTGTGTTTTTTAAAAAAAAAAAATTGCTTATGTTATGTTGTAAAAAATAAACAAATGTAAAATAAAACAGTTGAGTGTTTGGTAAACTTTTATTTCAAAAGTGTTTAAAAAAAAAAAAAAAAAAACAGTGTTTAAGAATTTGACAAACTTTTGGTAAATTTGCTAGGATTGTGTTAAATGACAAAGAGTGGGATGTTAAATATGATTTTATAATTTTTTTAGAAAAGATAAAAAATTATATATTCTATGGACACACACCCTTCTCTCCTCTCCTCATTTTCTCCGTCATCTCTCCTTCGAATTTTGCTAAACTTTCTATCTTCTCTCCATTCTCTCCGTCCTCTCTCTTATGGGTTTGCAGAAATGAACCTTCCTCTCTCCTCTCTTTCTCCCTCATTTTCTCCACCCCTAATCCTCTCCCTCACCTGCACCTGCAGTAATGAACCTGCACATGCTTGAACCTCCCGCTCAGATCGACTAATCCCAGACGACGGCTGAGAAACTTGTTGGTGGTAATTATCCCAAAAGATTTGGGGTTGGGATTGGGACTGGATCTGGTGGATCTGGGAGGGGGTGAAGTGTTTCAGCCCCATTGACAAGGGTTGCTGGTGGTGCTGCTCAAATTGGGCTGATTTGGGAAAGGGAGGAAGTCTTAGGAAAAAGAAGGGAGGAGAGGGGCGCAGGAAGAGGAAGGAGATTCAGTAGGGGTGTGGAGGATCTGGAAGGAGAGGGATGATCGGGAGACCGGGCGGCACATGCAGAGGGACAGCGATTGTCATTTTATAAAAATGACGAGGGTGTTATTGAACTTCAGAAAGTTTCATTAAAGATACACTATAGCTTTGCATGCTTTGACAAAAAGCTAATTTTTCAAAGCAGCATTTAGCAGCTTTCTTTTCTAGTGATTTCTGCTGTCAATGCCTTCAAAATAATCCTTTTTTTTTTTTAATTTACCAAAGACCTTAACTCTAAATCAGTACAGAGTATTGAGCTACTTATTTTATGGGCCATATACTTTTCAAAGTGTCTTTTACAAACTTGAAAACAGCATGGAAAATCTTCTGCTTGGAAAACGACCTAAGCCAAGGATCAATCCTTGCATCAATTGCATGCATGCGGTACCCTTTTATATTTGGTTGAGACGTCGACATGTGAACTAGATAGGCCCTTTCGAAATCGACAATATTAACTGCTATTTATCTTGTGCTTCTGTCATCAAATCCCATAGGAGAAGAAAACGCATTGAATCTATATGTCACAAGCAATCTAGCATTGCCCATACTTTCAAACCACTCGTCCTCCTAATATCGCTTGTATCAAAAAATTGGATGTGTTACAAATGATAAATGCTTACAACTAATGTCTAATGAAATGAAAGGTTTAGTAGTTAAAGAATCTGATTCATAAGGTTTTACTTTTTTGATGAGTCATGGTTAACTTGTATGCGATATGACACCGAAATACAATACATGAAACTTAAATTCCCACCACTGTAAATTCAAAGGGATTGACGACAGAATAGTAAATATTTACTACGAAAAACATGAAAAGTAACACTGTAACATAAGTAATATCCACCTGAAATTTTTCAAAAACAATTGTGATATTACAAAGTAAAGAAACACAATCCAAACAAGTCAAATAATAACTTATAAATAAACAGTCTTCCATTCTCTCAGTTATCTCTCTGATGTTTGCTTCTCTTCAAGGTTTGAACAGTTGGTACTTTTGAAGGCTTAATTTATTGTGATCTTAAATTGCTTCATGCTTTCACTTAACCACACAACGTTGATGCTAGCTCCTACTTACAACTGGAAAGAATATATAGTACTTCAATGGCCTGAGGATATTTAGGAACCAAAGATGGCAGGGGTGGAAACTTGCCAATCTTTGGGTGTGGGAACTATTTATGGGATTTTGGGGATGGGAGGAAGCTTGGGCTTTGGGTGAGGGAAGTAATATTTTGGGTGGAGTGGCGGGAGTGGTGGTTTCTTAAAGAATGGATGAGGAAGCTTGGGCTTTGGGTGAGGGAAATAATATTTTGGGTGGAGTGGCGGGAGTGGTGGTTTCTTAGAGAATGGATGAGGAAGCTTGGGCTTTGGGTGAGGGAAATAATATTTTGGGTGGAGTGGCGGGAGTGGTGGTTTCTTAAAGAATGGATGAGGAATCTTTGGCAATGGAGGGAGAGGCTTGAATGGGTGTGGCTTTGGCTTGTGGAATGGGATGGGTGGTGGAAGTGGCTTTGTGTATATTGGGACTGGTGGTGGAAGTGGCTTCTTGTATATGGGGACTGGTGGTGGAAGTGGCTTCTTGTATATGGGGACTGGTGGTGGAAATGGCTTCTTGTATACTGGAACTGGTGGTGGAAGAGGCTTCTTATAGACTGGGACGGGTGGAGGGAGAGGTTTCTTGTAGATTGGTGTTGGTGGAGGGCAAGGTTTCTTGTATACTGGGACTGGTGGAGGGTTAGGTTTCTTGTATACTGGGGTGGGTGGAGGGTTAGGTTTCTTGTAGACTGGGACGGGCGGAGGGTGAGGCTTCTTGTAGACTGGTACGGGGGGAGGGAGAGGCTTCTTGTAGACTGGTACTGGTGGAGGGACTGGCTTCTTGTAGATTGGCACTGGTGGAGGAAAAGGCTTCTTGAAGATTGGAACTTTTGGAGGGAAGACCTTAGGAGGGAATGGCAATGGGTGTCCAAAAATTGGGTGAGATTTATGGAAAGGTGGCAACTTAGGCAAAGGTGGCAATTTGGAAAAAAGTGGGTGCTTCTTGTGAGGCCAAAAGAAGGCAGAAGTGCAAGTCACAGGTGAAAATTTGAGATTTCCACCAGCCACTCCAAGGGTTTGTGTCCCATCACTTGCCTTGGACTTGAAGACTATTTTTGTGGATTTCAGGCCGTCATGGGCAGCACAAGGGGCAGCTGATGCACTGTGGAGTTGGGCATAACATTCCTCTTTTAGTTGGTTTTCTTCTTTCACAATCTCTTTAGGAAGTAAGACTTTGAACTCTCCCTGTTCATTGAGCTCCCCAACACCTCTTGTTTTGAAGTGCCCATTTTCGGGCTTGCAGTCAATTGATACACGAAGACCTGTAAAATTGTAGCTAAGTTTAATAACAATTTAGGTCGAGAATAAACCCTAATTGGTTTCTTTGTTCACAAGAGGAAGAAAACAAGAGTAAGTGCTCTAAGCTATAATAAGTTCCATACATAGAAAGTGGAAATGAAACTTCAGTGAAACTGTTAAGTTTATGAGCACGTTTCTCAATGCTTAAATAATAATTCAATCATCAACTTCCATGTAATTTAATTTACAAAATTTTATGTACAAATTTAGTCTCACTAGCATTACTCTTCCAAATATAGTCACTTTGCTGTCCACTTTTGAAGTTCATGCAATGCAACACATGCAGTAATGTGCATGGCAATGCAAAAATACCTAAAATATTAGCAACTTATGAAAGAAAATGCAACCAGAAATTTTGTTACCTGAAAAGGCTTGGCTAGTCTTAATGTTATTCCGAGCACAGTCAGTGCATTCTCCAACCCCAACTACCTCAATTGTCTGCTCAGCATGGCTAAAGCTCACAAAAAGCACACACAGCCAGAAGCACTTCTGGAAAATCTTCATTGGGAACACTACCCCCAACACAGACGTACGGGGGAGAGAAAGTTCAAGAAGAAAACGGCTTATTCTATAAGCTGTTGCTATTACCCATCTTTACAAAGCTTATTATATAGGGTTTATAAGCACTTTGATCTAAAAGCACATCGACACTGAAATTTAAGGGCTTCACATGAGATTAGGGTCCCTAGGGACCCTTTCTTTAGGGGTGACCTTGCGTTTAGGGGAGAAGAAAAGGACCGTAACGTGCATACCGACTTCATCCCCCATATCACAATGTCATTCATTCAATGAATAGCTCCCAACTGTATATCTTATCTGTCTAAACCTACTTACTCGGATCCCATTAATACCATGCTTTTTACACATACCCACGTTTAATTTACCTAAGTAATTTATGTTCTACGATCAACGCATGTTCCTAAATACTTAAATTGTAAGGAAATGAATCAACAATGTATATCAAACTTATACTTTTTGACATGTGCATGATTATTTATGCACATGCATGAATAGCCCAACTTGTGGAATAAGAGTGACAAACATATAAAATGTATATCAAGCCTACACCGTCTAACACATGCATGATTATTTATGCACTTATTGGAATACATCAACTCTTGGAATGTAAACGAGAATCAAACTCGGTCAAGAATGAGAGGTGAACCATTCAACTTAATTACACTGATATTGACTCAACTTAATTACTTGCACTGATATTATCTCAACTTAATTACTTGCACAACTCGACAAATGTTGATTTTTATCACAAAAGACAACTGTGATTACAAGTGAAAATGTTCAATATAAATTATAATTTATTCTGTCAAATTTTCGAATTGCAATCTTCAATAGGGCGCACCCTTTCCTCATGAGCCCCTATTTATTTTCTTTTATTGGGCTTGGTGGCTTAATTTGTCACAGTTGGGAGACTAAAAGAGGAAACAAATGGTGGCATTTGCAGGCACATACCTAATTCACGCGATCATCATATCAAATAAACTATCAACCAATTTTTCATAACAACCTCTCGCCAAAAGTCCAAATTATGTATTAAATGTGGACACACACTCATCATGTGCCTGTTCAATTACAATAGGAGGCTAATGGAGCTGGAAGTTCAAATTGAAACCTCATCTCTTTTCTTTGTCAAATTTGAAATTAGCTAGAGAAAATTGATTTTGTACTATATTTGTATTTGGTCTAACAGAAGCTTTCGTTCAATTGAAATTTTGGTTCCTAAATTAAAAATATGTGAGTATTAGTCTCAAAACTCGTCACAATATGGAGCAATGTTCCTAATAACACTGTTAGAACTTTTAGTCAGATTAATGGATTTTAAGAGGAAAATTAGGGACGAAAGTTATAACAAAGGGCGTATAGGATTCTCTTCCCTCCTACCATTACTTTACACACAGTAAAAATACAAAAACTAATACTCACAAATTTTTAATTCAATGATTAAACTCCAACTAGATCAAAATTCAAAAACTGCTATAATTTTATGAAATTGATTATTCATATGGGTATGGTGGGGTGGGTTCTAAAATTGTGGAATTATAGAGCACATGGTAGAGCACATGGAAAAAGTTGAGTCGCTCGAAGGAGAGCAATCAGAGAGCATAGTGGCACAGGCAAATTTGTTGGTATTTCGTACAAAAAATTAACTCAAGCCCCTAGGAGCAATTCCAGCATGACGAAGGCCCCCTAGGGCAACTTCCTATTCAATCCCCTTCAATGAACAATAATTGCCTTTTGCATATTCTCCCATAAACTGATTAGCCATGGCAATAGGTAATAAAGTATTAATATTTTTTATTTTATAAAAAATAAAAAATAACTTTATTTGTAATTTCGGATAGAATTTTTAATCAGTCTCGTTGTATCACGTGTCATTAAATAAGAAATTACAACCCAAAATATTTGAGAAAATATAAAATTGTGGTGTAAGTTGGAAGATAAGGTTAACATAAATATAGAAAAATTGATTTTTTTTAATTTTTAAAATTTTTTCAGATTTTTTATTAATTTTTTACATTTTTTAATTAATTTTTTTATATTTTTATTAAGTTTAAAATGTGGCTAACGTCAGCCAAGTATCACATAACCTTAGGCTCTTGAGCCACCAATTCGAATCGGGCCTCTCACTCGAGCCCCCCTTAGTCCACTAGCCCGTATGGGCTGGAGCTTGCAGCTCTGGCTATTGGGTTGGAAAAATGGTTGGTCCATCGTGCTATTCCCCCCACTGGAGTTGCTCTAACAAGAAACTTGCCAATATGGGGTTAGACATCATTCCACTTGTGGGCTCGAGTCCTATATTAAGTTGTACGTACAAGGGACAGCTGTAGGTATTTTGTACAAAATAAAGGCATGTGGGCGGAATGAAAGGCCGGGCGATTCTTGCATGGGCATTGGGTCGGGTTTGGCTTGGCTAACCACTTGTTCTCTGATTTTTTGGCCGCCAGAGGACATTTTTTAGTTTAACGGCAATTTAGAAGCCCTTGCCCTTGCCCTTGCCCTTGCCCCGGTGGAATCGCTCCTAAGGGTACCTATAGTGTTAAGTCATTGATATGACCGTGTAAGGAAGAGAGGAAAAATCTTAAAAATTTGTATACTAACAGTTGTGGCATGTTTTGTCTATTATTCATTTCTTTAGCGTGCCTGGATTCAAGGTTAAATTATATTTGGAATCATCTGCAACATATTTTATTTGTAAACTACGCAGATCAAGTAAGAACATGTTTATGTGCAACGAATAAGAATATGTATCAATTCAATTTCAGATATTTACTCAAATGCAGACAAGTGAATCATTTTACATAACTTGTTTACAAATGCTAGACAACGAATCTTGACTCGTATATACAAGAATAACAATTGTCATTACTCAAGAACCAAAACACTAATCAATATCTTCAACATGGAGCTTTGGGTACAATTGCTAGTATACAAGCAATTCAAAGGCTCTCCTTAAACAAATTTACAATTATTAGTTACCCAATAACCAATGAGCATGACAACTGTACAAATTAGTATCCAATGCAGAGATGCCATTTGGCATCCTAACAACTTGTTGGAAATGTGCCCTAAAACCAATCATATGATGATACTTTATGGACATTTCACATGTTAAACTAATCTAGTTTAATATTAAGGGCAAACATTATTGTTTGAGCCGTCTCATATAAATGTTATATGCTTAAACGATAAGTCCAAGGAATATGTGATTGGAAGAATGCGATCTAAAGAAGTTAGATTCATGAGACCATTCTTTCGTTGACACATCCTAAACGTTCCTGATCATAGGATTGTCAATTGGGCATTGACAGTCCGTTAAGATCAGTACGTGCTATGTCTTCTCTCAGGGAGAGTGACTAGTCTCGAGTCATTGGTGTGTGTGACATCAAGACAAGTACGTAGGTGCTCAATAGAGAATGAGTTCACTGAACACGATCAACGAAGAGTTCTCATATTCATGTCACATGAGAACTCATGGTTGGGATAATGCAAATTAGTCTTTTGACCTGAGGCATCACAGTTGTCTTATGGTTAGGTCCTTAATCTTTGATTATGTCAAAATCACTCCATCAGGATGGTGTCCATGGCATCGTTGGGGTTAAGCCACTTAGCCATGGAGGCAAGTGAATGCACAACAAGGGATCTCTAACCTTCAAACTGTTTGAGGGAGAATACTCTATGATATGATTAAGAATCTTTGGCCAAAGTATGAATGAGATTTAGGAATGTGTTCCAAATCACATTCAAGGTAATCATATAAGCACAAGACTCACATTGGATAGTAGACATGAATAAACTATCAAACCAAACAATGTGGTCAAGAGTATTGTATTAGAGAAAGACCGTATTGCATTTGTAATCCTAAAACTGAATAGGTTCTCCACCTCTTCTGATTAGCTTGGGTAACCATGACATGCTGCTAGGCGTCAACCATGGTTTGTGGAAGCCCTAAAAGTGTATTATCACTAATGGGAGAATTGAAAGTAAGTTTCAATTCACAATCGATTAGAAAGAGTTTTGATCGCCCACTGCCTCGCTAAAAGGAACCTAATGGATCGTTCACCGAGTAAGGTAGAGTTTGAAGAAACAACGGAGATGAGTAAGAATAATTAAATGGTTTAATTATTTATCTAAGGCTAGGATTAATTAATATGTTAATTAATCAAACGAATAAGTTCGTTAAAGACCTCGGGTTAGTTTTGAGCCGCAAGGCCCAATGGGATTTGAATGTCAAGCCCATTAACTCAAGTTGTATGACAACTTGAATAAACAAAGGGCTTGAAAGCCCAATAAACCCTATAGGCTTGCCATGTTAGAAGAATAGGGCTTTTGGTCCATTAGGTCACTTATTTGAAGGGACTATATAAAGGACTTTATAGCCTAAAATTTACATATGGTAATTTTTGGGGAAAGGATGAGAACACAAGCTCTCCTTTCTCTCTAAAATTTAGGCCACCTTGGAGGGATCATCTAGCAATCAAACTCCTCCAAGGTCACTCATTTCTTCTTCATTATGCCTTGGTGATGAATATTAGAGGTTCTCAATTTTGGGAACTTGGAGAAACCTTTTCATCCATCCAAATCCATGGATCTAAGATGCAAGGAATGAAGGCCCTCTCTTTGGGTGATTAGCCTTTGCTTATGCAAAGAGGAATCTACAAAGGTATTGATTTCTCAACTCACTTTGTTTTGAGTTGAGTCTTGGTTCACCTATCTACTAGGCTTTGAATTTCATGGGTAAATGTTTTGTTTTAAGTGCATACAAGCATGATTCCGCCTTTAATTGTTAATTGCATGCTATTGATGTTGCTTAAATGAACATGTTTTTCACAAATTTTCCTTCAAGTGGTATCAAGAGCCTAAGTCTAGTAGTTGGTGAATCCTTTTGGGTTTTGTAGTTCATAGTTTGTGATTTGAATGTTGTAATTGTTACAAGCTTTATTCTTGCTTCTTTGAATGTAAATTTTGTTAGAAAATTTGCCATCTCAAATGTTGTAGATGTAGTTCATATGAGCATGAATTTTGGAGCTAAAATTTGGTGCCATGTTTTTGGGGAAATTCGGCCAAATCCAAAGGGTGGATTTTTGGGTTCTTGTTTGACTTGT